GCTACACATTGAAGACAAAAGTGTATATGGGTAAAGGAACCGGCATCGATGAAGGATCGTCCTTGGCAATGTCTGTTGTCATGGACCTCATAAATGACTATTTGGACAAGGGACATACTTTGTATATCGACAATTTTTATACGTCTCTGGACCTGGCCAATGTTCTTCTCACCAGACAGACTCACCTTGTGGGTACAGTAATTGCAAACCGTGCATGGTTTCCACACAAAAAGACAATCCCACCAAATTTGACCCTTGGTACAGGAGAAATGAGCTGCCTGGAGTACCCAAATGGCACGACGTACACCAGATGGGTTGACAAGAGGGAGGTACGCATTATGTCAACGAAACACACTAATGTGTATGAAGACACGGGAAAGAGGAGTCGAAATGGTACCCCTATACTGAAGCCTCAGGTAGTTGTCCATTATAACAAAGCTAAAATGGGCATCGATTTGTCCGATCAGATGTCTTCTTACAGCTCGGCTGTAAGGAAATCGATGAGATGGTATCACAAGGTAGCGGAGGAAATGCTCCTTGGAACTGCTGTTGTCAACGCTTGGCTTGGGTACAAAGAGGCTGTAGGTGCCACTGACCAAGCAGCAAAACGTCATGTGTACTCCATCACAACTTTCAGAGAGAAAGTGGCTTACGCTCTTCTGGGCCTTCGTGACGAAGAAATCGATCCCGTTCGAGTGACTGGCCACCATCATCTAACGGAGACAGCCCAATTCGAAGGAGAAGGCCGAAACAAAAGGCGGGTAAGACGTCACTGCAAGATCTGCTACCAACAAGCTCAGAATGCAGGCGGGCGTGAGACTGCTAGGAAATCGAAGAAAGTAAACACATTTTGTGAAACTTGCCCCCAGAAGCCGTTTTTGTGCAAGGACTGTTTTAGGAACACACACAAGTAGGCCAGTCAACTTTTTACTTTTCTAAAAGCAGTTGTCATGTTTTTATTCATTATTATACATATATTTAGTTTTTTTTAGCAATGTAATATTGTTTACAGTTTGACATAAAAGATTTCAAAAATATGTTTGTTTTCTTTCTTATCTGTTTTTCATCAGTATTACCCAAATACTTACTTTTATGTTCAGGTTAGGGAAATAATTTCAGTCGTAAGATACAAAAAACTCTTATAAAATATAAACACCAACTGAATAAGAAAAACGTTACGTCATTTTATGGTGCATATTTCAATAAAGAGTAGATAAAATTGTTGAAAAAAATAGCGTCACCCCGATCGGGGTGACAACATTTCAGTCCTTTGTGACGTAAGTTTGGACATTTTATAAACATCAGAATGCAATATAACATTGATATCTAGTTAGCTTGGAGTATGTATTTATAAGCCACAATGTTTGACTGCCGTTGAACATCAAAGACTGTCAAATAGCGGCAAAGAAAAAAACCCTTACAAATTACAACTGTCGCCCCGATCGGGGTGACAGTGCTCACATACGAGCCAACTGGTGGCACCCCGATCGGGGTGACGTGGCAGCTAACGTGTTTTAAACTTAAAATTTCAAAAATTTAATCATGATGATAAAAATTGAATTATCCTGGTCATTTTAATTGTTTGAACTTAAATTGCTCAAAAAAGGCTGTTATGAAAAAAAATGTCAAGAACACTAGGATTTAGCATTTTTATTCCGTATCAAACAATGCAAAGTTCAAAAAGATCGAATAAGAAATAGCTGAAATATTACGATAGGTATTTAGTTGTAAAATGAGACCTGGTTAACGAAGCGATTTTGGAAAAAATGTTATTCTTGATTTTCTTTTTATTTTGACCCATAGAACTATTTACCGGAGTTTGGCTGTTTACTTGAGGGACACTCTGTATATACACCAAAACTACAAAATCACTCACGTACAAAACATCAAACGTTGTTAAACAAAACAAGTTTTGTTAACTTTTACCTAATCCCTACCTTTACATTTACTGCTAAGGTTGCTTCTTTTGCTTTGCTAAAACGAAGTATCTTAAAAAACAAGTTTCCTATGGATTTTGCCCATTTAATTTCGTGGTTACCCTCCTCAAACTCAACGTTAGATATGTGGAAAACAAGAGCTCCAAAAAAAATGGTCTTGAGAAAACTTATAACCTAGGTATGTTAAGATGTAGCCTACTTAAAAATTTAAGTCATCTAATAATCTGCTGGTTATAATTCTTATGGAACATATATTAGTCATGAACCCTAGAGCAAAGGGTTTTCTAAATAGGATGCTGCAAAATTGAAACATTTTCTATTTTCAAAGTCTGTAAGTATTCTATGCACTCGTTCAACATTTCTGAATCACGTATGAGATTTTCTTTCGTACGAAATTGAACTGTTCTTACTTCTTCTGCTTGTGTAATTGAATGCAGAACACGAACGATTCTGGCATAATCAAAGTACATCACGTCGAAGATATACTACTACGAAAAAATAAAACCACGCACTTCCGCTGTACAGCTATACTGACAGTAGTGGCAGTGCACGTGGTTGCCCGGACTGTGGTGGGGGTTGTCTGACAGCGCCGGACCGCGTTTCGGCTCAAGCAACACATGCAGCGCGCGATCCATGTTTGTTATATATCGATGGTCAATCCCACTATTCCACCAATTACTTCCAGTTTCCGGTGTTCATGCTTATTCTTATGATCAGGAGACCGTGTCGTTAAAGGCACGGATCTATTACTTAAATAAAATTATCAGCAATCTAAAACATACCTTCTCCGATTAGCTTATCAACAACCTTTATCATGGGTAAGTCACAAAAGTTGCATTAACATTTGAACCTTAGTTTTTACAAGAATGAGAGATTGCATTATTTTGTTAAGAATTATAAGAACCATCAAAATACTAATTTCAATCAAAACCGGTTTCCTTTTGAATATCCAATTTTATTTTACTGTTAATGGGGTTTGTAGGGGAAAATAACACGATAACTTTCAAACGTAATTTTTACAGGAATGGGAGTTCTAATATTTCGTTCTAAATTTAAAGGGCTGCAGCATAATGAACTGCTAGTAACATCGTTCGGGCCATTTAAAAACATTTTATATTTTCCCGCTATTTTATGGGTTTGTATGGTACAATCATCATTAAAAATCTAAATTTTAAAAACATTAAAAAACTCCTAGAGATACCATGGATAATACTTGCCAAATTTCATCTAAATCGGATCACAGGTGTGGTATGTAGCTATGTACACATCCGGACAAACATACTCACGCACACGCACACACACAGACCACTCACTTCGAAAACCACTTTTTTGGGCCCAGGAGGACCCAATAAAAGGTGCAGATAAACATTAATACTTATTGCAATAATTGTCGTAGCCAAATAAAAGGCACAGATAATCACAACAACTTTTTGCAAGAATAAGGTACACGATCGTGTTAGCGAATTTCCCAATAGGAAATTAGGGGAAAAGGGGCACGGTGATAACTTGAGTAATTTTTGTCAGATTTTGATCAATTTGGTTCAAAGGTGTAAGGCAATGTAAACCAGAATGGGTTCGAGAACCAGCATGATCGAACAATGGGAACGAGGTTTTATGAGGGGTTTTATGGAGTAAATAGTTTTTCTCATTTTTGACCCTTAAAACGCAAAATTTTAAAATTTCTCTCTAGATCTTTTTAAAGAACTTAAAAACAAATAATTTAGTATATATAATTGTTTTTGTACGCTTATTGGTAACGGAGAAAGTTCAAACAATCTTAAACTTAAAATTCCCATGTTATTCTTATGGACATTATTGTAAAATGTTGTTGTTTGTTTGTTTATGGATATATTTTGATCAAACATGGCATTTTTTATTATTTTATTCTAAGCTATAAATAAATTACTAAAACATACACTTAATTAGTTTCCTTGCAGAAACAAACCTAGGTACGGTATCATTAAATATATTTTGTTTTTTTAGACTTAATAAAAAAGTAATTCAGACAAATGAAAATGCACTTAGTTGGCAGGTTTGCTGTAGTGGGGGTATTTTGTATATGAATATGAAGGTTAGAATCTCTTCTTTAAGAAAACGATAGTTTTATGGTATTTTCTATGCAATAAATTATCATATTTTACTACGGAAGGTAGCGGTTTTATGAGGCAAGGTTAAGGCTATACCCCTTATTAGATTTGGAAAGTAAAAAGAGGTGATAAGCAATTGCCACCAGGGTGATTTTTACTAAAAAAACTTATTGTTTTAAGCATAGAAAATCAAGAATTCAATTTTAACACCCCAATCGAGCCAGAGACAAAACACTTACAAACCAATACCACACATACTTGAAAACTTACAAACCACCCCACAATATATATATATATGAATTTGAACGGAGGGTGTTTTTGGTCTCTGAGGACCTCAACAAAATCGGTCCCGGGTCCAGGTCATACCATGAGTATGACGGTAATAACTTATTCCCTATAAGTTGGGAACCAATTATTTCTAATTATTCAATTATTCAATCAATTATTTCCCATATTATGGGAAATTCGCTAAAATGGTGATTCCCAAATTTGTACAGTATTTAGCAAAGTAGGAAGGAAGAAAGTTGTCGAATGTTAGACTAAATTAAATCGTATATATTATACGTTAATTGGTTTGTCTAAGCAACATACTTGCTTCACTTAATGCAGGCTTATTGTTTGTTTGCTTACATAACTTACTAAATACATACAAGACTATACTTCCTATTGTGCACTTTCTCCGGGCTCAAAATTGTCAAAAATTTAACCTCTTATCTTTTGTTGTTTGAAAGCATATATAACATGAAGAAGGTTGGTTTATTAGTTAACATGTGGTATTTATTAGTTTCCACATAATTCTTGATGTATCTAAAGTATTTATAATACTATAGCCTTGTTTATTATAGGCTGGGTAGCTGAGGGGTTAACAGTCGATCCTGAGAAAAGGCATATCATTTAGACTTTCGAAACTGGACCTAGATGTCCTTGGGTTTTTTAGCTTTTCAATACTAATCTTCCCCTGGTGTGCTTTTGTCAGGTGGCTGTGGATGGTCGGCACTTCATCTCCTACAAACACAGAGAACCTTTCAGGGGTGTCACCAGAATCCAGTTTCTCGGACATATAACTCTGGCCAACGTCGACTTCCAGAACACACCCAAGTACCCTTCCCCTCTGCCACAGGTGGGTGAATTTGCTGTTTGTAGATAATTGATCACATTAAAGTGTAAGAGCCAGCAACTGAAAATTGATACCATCATAAAAAGCATAAGTTACATGTTGGAAAATCCTATTGAGTAAATGTCATCCTTCTTATTGGGTCAAAATAAAAATAAAAAACTAAGAATATTTTTTTTAAAATACCTAGTTTGCGAGGTACCTTCTTTTCGTTTCTTTGTTTTGCGCAAAAACTATTCAAGGTAACCTAATTTATGAAACTATACAGTATACAGTTTTAAAAGCAAGATATATTTTTAAAAAGAACAACCAATAAAAAAACTGGTTTGTTTTAAAATGGCTGGTATTTAAATTTGTATAACTTAAATTGATTTAAAAAAAACTGATTTTATGAAAAGGTGCCAAATCTGTGTTGGTTCTAAGATTGCAATTATTTTAATTTGGATTACTTAAATTACAAAAATTGCTGTTTTTATGAAAAATGTCCCAAAACACTTTTATCTAGCATTTAAAAGATTCTTTAAAACTAAAACAAGATCAATAAGGTTGAAAATTTAATACCTTAGAAATCAAAGTTTTGAGGCGCACAAGGATTGACTTTATTTTTCTGTTAATGATATACATAACAAATTGCCTACTTTGAGCCGTGCCTACGATCCGCCAACTTGTGTCATGACCCATTTTTTGTTTCAAATTGTTCAAGTTTTTATATAGTACGTGTTTTGGTAATGGTCAACGTCTGTCTGCTATGCACGGTGATCTCTTCTTACTCCTGCTTGTCAACGAGATGACTTAAAGTTTCTATGGCTGGTAATGAGTCAACTTCGTTCTACATGTCAACCCTGGTGAATCTTAATCAATGTGCTATAAAATTCAATATTGGTTTTGTTGTTTGTTTCCGCTTTTCAACGATGTTTTAATTTAAGGATCCAATTATTATGTAAGTATATTTTTTACAACTCGATATTTATGTGAAGGTAGTCGTACCTTCTGTGCTGTTTGGTATTTTTATAATTGCTATCATATGTTGCATATTTGATGTTTGTTTTTATTGTATTGTTGTTTTGAGCTTGAAGACTTACTTTTGGGATCTTGGCTAATAAAGTATCTATGTTTAACTGTGGTGTGAGTTTTACCTTTCACTTCATGGTGTCAGGTTAAATAAACTTTTGTGGAGAAGAAAGAACTAAGCATGGCTGAAGCAGTGAGTAGTACAATTAGTACAGTTCAATACCAACTTGTCACACCTGAACCTTTCAATTTCAGGGAACCTTCTGAATGGCCTAGATGGATAAGAAAATTTGAAAGGTTTAGATTAGCTTCAGGATTAGACAGTAAGAGTGGGGAAAATCAGGTTAATATGCTTTTATACTGTCTAGGAGATGAAGGAGAAGACCTTCTAACATCTTTCGGATTAAAAGATGAAGAATTACAGAGTTATGGCACTGTCAAGGGTAGATTTGAGTCTTACTTAGGTTTCAAAATCAATATTGTATATGAGAGAGCTAAATTTCTAAAAAGACGTCAGTCTGAGGGGGAACCTGTTGATTCTTTTATAAATAGTTTACACAAACTGGCAGAGAGATGTAAACTTGGAGAATTAAAAGATGAACTAATTAGAGATTTGATAGTAATTGGGGTAAATGATGATAAACTTTCTCAAAATTTACAGTTGGATGAAAAATTAACTTTAAGTACAGCAATTTTGAAAGCAAGACAAGCAGAGAGTTTAAAACAACAACAAAAAGTAGTGAGGGAATCACCAGAAATTGAGTTTGTCAATAAGGGGATTAATCAATCCACTAAACATCGGTTTAGGGACAGTTCTTGCAATAAAAGTCAAGATCAAAGCTTTTCAAAGAAAGGTAAATGTAACAAATGTGGATTTGTTGGTCATCACAATAGCAATGATTGTCCTGCCAATCAGTCTACATGTTTCAGATGTGGAATAAAGGGACACTATGTGAGATGTTGTACCAAAGGATTTGAAGTGAGAGAAATTAATAAAAGTAATGAACCATTAGAAAAACCTAAAACCTATTTAGGGGAATTGACCATAGAAGAGGTTGGAGGACAAAATCCTTGTAAAGTAAAACTTAATGTCAAGGGGCATGATATTTATTTTAAGTTAGACACTGGAGCAGATGTTTCTATAATTGGATATGATCTTTGCAAGGAATTAAAACTGGAAACGAGTGAAACAAGTAAAATATTATTTGGTCCGGGGAAAACTAGGTTGAAAGTGGTTGGTAAGATCGTTGCTACTTTGGTTTTAGAAATAAATCTATTGTAGAAGATATTTACGTCATTGAGCAACAACCTACTCCACTTTTAAGTAGAAATGCAATGTTGAAATTAAACCTAATTCAGTTCAACATAGATTCGATTTTCTCTAACCAAATATTTTCTCAGTTTTCTGATGTTTTTGGTTCTATTGGTGAAATGAAAGGGGAAAACTACAGAATTGCACTAACACAAAATGCTCGTCCCTTTGCTGTGGCAGCCCCTCGTAGAGTGTCCGCTCCATTATTGAGCAAAGTCAAAGAAGAATTGGATCGACTGCATTCTGAGGGAATAATTGAGCCAGTGGTAGAACCAACAGACTGGTGTGCACCAATTGTTGTTGTACCGCGTAAGACAGGTGATAGAGTGAGGCTATGTGTTGATTATACCGAACTCAACAAAAGCATTCAGAGAGAAAGGTGGCAACTACCAACTGTAGAAGAAAGTCTAAGTAAATTAGAAGGCGGACAAATATTTTCATTACTAGACGCTACAAATGGATTTCTTCAAGTTCCCTTACATCATGAAAGTTACAAGCTTACGACTTGTATAACTCCTTTTGGGCGATTCTTTTTCAAGAGGTTACCATTCGGTATTAATTCTGGCCCAGAGGTTTACCAGAAGAGGATATACCAAGTTTTGGATGGACTGGATGGGGTAGTAAACCAAGCAGATGATATACTTGTGGTCGGTAGAACACAGGAAGAACATGACCATCGACTAGCAAATGTATTACAAAGATTGAGAGAACACAATGTTACACTTAATAAAGATAAATGTAACATTAATGTGAACAGAGTTAAATTTCTAGGACATTTGATTGAAAATGGATTGATAAAGCCTGATCCTGAGAAAGTGGAGGCCATTATGAAAATGCAAACCCCAAATAATGTTAACGAGCTTCGGCAATTTCTTGGCATGGTTAATTATTTGATGAAGTTTATTCCTAACTTGGCTGAAGTTACAGCTCCATTGCGAATTTTACTTAAGAAAGGTTATCAGTGGGTTTGGTCTGACGTTCAAAAGAGTGCTTGGGATAAAATTAAATCCCTAATTTCTTCAAATCCAGTTCTGGTGTCTTACAACAAAAATCGTAAAACCAGAGTTGCAGCTGATGCCTCGTCATTTGGCCTAGGAGGGGTGATTGAACAATTTGTGGATGGAAAGTGGAAACCAATCACCTATGCATCGAGATCTTTATCACCGACAGAGATGCGTTATGCTCAGATAGAAAAGGAGGCACTGGCACTGACTTGGGCATGTGAGAGATTTTCACAGTATGTTTTAGGAACTGAGTTTGAACTTATGACTGACCATAAACCTTTAGTTCAGGTGCTTGGAAGTAAACAAATCGCTAGCTTATCGGCAAGACTTCAGCGGTTAAGAATGAGAATGGCTTGTTTTAGATATAAAGTAACATATGTGAAAGGAAAGGAATTTTATGTACCAGATGTTTTGTCTAGGAACCCCATTAAGTCAAATGAAGAACATGAAGACATATTGGAACAAGATTTGTTTGTTCAGAGTATTTTAGATGCTATTCCTTGTTCTGACAAAAGGCTCAAGGAAATCAAAGAAGCTCAGGATACTGATGAGGAATGCGGAAGAATTAAATCCTGGATTGTGAATAACAATTGGAATAAAAATTCGGTGTATTGGAAGTACAGGACTGATCTAAACATCAGTAAAGGATTCCTCCTTTTAGGCACCAGACTGTTTATTCCAAAATCGTTGAGAAAGGAAATACTGAGTAAAATACATGAAGGTCACATGGGAATTGTCAAATGTTGAAGGCGAGTGTATGAATCGGTGTGGTGGCCTGGCTGCTCAACAGATATTGCTACACTTGTAACAAATTGTCCAGTTTGCTTGGAGCAAAGAAGTAACAAATCAGAACCATTACTGTTGACTGAACTACCAAAAAATCCCTGGGAGTCTTTAGGTATTGATCTTTTGAAATGTAATGCAAAATGGTATTTAGTTGTGCAAGATTACTATTCTAGATTTCTTGAACTGGTTTATGTGGATGCATTGACTACTGGAGCTGTGGTTGCTAGATTGAAAAATATATTTGCTCGACATGGAGTACCATATGTGGTAAGAGCTGATGGAGGTCCGCAATTTACTTCTCAGGATTTTAAAAATTTTGCTGAAGAATATGGTTTCCGTATAGTGACATCAAGCCCAAGGTATCCACAATCAAACGGAGAAGCAGAAAAAGCAGTTGACATAGCGAAGCGGATTCTAACGAAATGTAGTGATCCAAATCTTGGATTGTTAGAATATAGAAATACACCCTTAGAGTCTGGTCTTTCACCTGCAGAGTTACTTTATTCACGGAAGCTCCGATCTACATTACCGTCAATAAATAACTTCAGACAGGTAACAAGGGAAAGATTGCAAAAGTTTAAAGAGAAGGATTTTTCAATCAAGGAAAGAAATAAGAGAAACTACGATGTAAGGAAAGGTGTAAGAGATCTCTCACAGCTTGATCAAAATGACAAAGTTTGGATTCCAGATTTAAAACGTTATGGACATGTTGAGAATAAATCAAATCATCCTCGGTCCTACCTGATAAATACACAGGCAGGGACGATCAGAAGGAACATGAGACATATAATAGCTGTGCATAGGCCTATTGAAAATGGTGGAAATAGATTTGAACACCAATACCAAGAAGACCAAGGAACTGAAACTGATGCTGGACATAATTACAATAGCAATGAAAATGACAGACCTAAAAGAAGTGTAAAACCACCTCTTAGATACAGTGATTCAGATTTTTACAAATAAACTAAAAAAAAGAGAAAAGAGAAGATGTGCTGTTTGGTATTTTTATAATTGCTATCATATGTTGCATATTTGATGTTTGTTTTTATTGTATTGTTGTTTTGAGCTTGAAGACTTACTTTTGGGATCTTGGCTAATAAAGTATCTATGTTTAACTGTGGTGTGAGTTTTACCTTTCACTTCACCTTCCCTTACTCCTAGTTGATCATTTTTTATCGTATTGTATTTGAGCGACGTGTTTTATATGAAAAAGATTTATTGTAATTCGGCTTATTGTTTTAGAAAATGTTCATTAACGAATATTGTTGATTTTTCTTAACAATAGCTGTTCCTCTCCTCGACTTGTGCTTCACGGGCTGAAACTGGAGAAACACTCTCGGTTGTTGTTGCGCCGAGAACATCAGTTGTTGAGGACTTGGACCGACTCTCCATTCTTTCAAAGAGCGTCCAGGACCTGTATTCAGAGAAACCAAGCTACGGGGGCATCTTACCCACTCTGGTCCCTATCCTATTTTAACATTTGTGGGGTCTGGTCCTGGACTGTTGCAGTGGCAGGAGCAGTTCGTTGTTTGCTTTGTTTGTGTGCAAACATGCCACATTCGATGGGATTGCTTCCAGACAGGAAATTTTGGACAAGTCCCATAAAATATGTTGTTCACAAGGGTAAAGATAGCCCAAACCTTCCTGTGATGTTCATGTTAATTGCAATATATATTTTTTCCAAGTCAAGTTCCGTTAAAGTTGAGGTCTATTAACATTCCTGTTTCTGCTTCCTCCACCTCTGGGAGTGCTGTTGCTGTGACTGAGCCTCTGCTGCAGTGGTTGACGGGCCTTACATCCACTGGAGTGAAAGCAGCAAGCTCAACTTCGCACGACCCAACATCTTTATGGGTGAAACGGTGCAGAAGGCAATTGTGGTTTTTGGGCCATCACAATGTCCAATTTCCTTGATCTTTTTTGAAACCTTAAAATCTTCTGAGCTAATCAAGCAGGTTGAGTGAAGCTCCCCTATCTAGACTGCGTCAAAGTTCCCTCTTCTAATTGTCTATGAAGCCCTTTTCAAACAAGGACTTAAATTTAGAAAAATAATTCCAGTAAAATCGGGAGCAGATTTCATTAACACACTGGCCTGATTTTCGTCTCGAAAGTAACTTATTGCAGGGAAAGGTTGCATTTACGGTTGCAAAATCCCTTAAAGGCTACTTTCCATGCACTACAAATCCACAAAAAGTTAACGTTGTGTAGTTTTGCCGCGCAGTAGCTGGATGTAAACTATATTCTTAGCTCATATTACGTTTGGAAAGAGTACTTTATCGTGCAGAGTAATGAAAAGTATTTTTCTGTTTTCGATCAGAATCAGGTTTATAATTTAGGCCTTCTGATGCCGTGGAATTTGTACCAATTCACACGAGTTCTAATGGGTCTAGCTGTGGGGGCCCAGACTCTCACCAGACACGTTGATTCCATCTTTCATGACTTCAAATTTGTGTTTAATTAACTTGGTGATCCTATGGTGTACAGTAAGAGCTTAGAAGACCATCTGAATCATCTAGAGGAATTAATAAGTGTATTGCATAGGGCTGTCCTTACCGTAAGCCAAAAATCTCTTTTCTTGATCATCTAGTTTCTCATAGGGACGTCCACATTGGCCCAGCTAGCAGTCAGGCCATCGGGGAGTTTCATCCTCCCAAGGATGCAAAGGGTTGTTTCTCCCGGCTCTGTATCCCCAATTTTATAAGTTGGTGGCTCTTCTCAATAAGGTTTCTAAGAAGCGCGCAAAAGTGAATAAAATTGGAACCGTGTTCCCAGTGCAAAGGCGAGTGATGGCTCACAGAAAAAAGACCGTGGGAAAAGGTTCGAGAAAAACCCACCATTTGAGAGGAAAAGCTTTGATTAAACTATTTAACCAATAAGCATTATTTAAATAAATCCCGTTTCATTTAAAACATTTTTCCCAAATACAATACAGAAAATATATAATAGCACAGATATCAACTAGGAGTGGGGAAAGGTAGGATTGACTTTATATAAATATCAAGTAGTAAAAAATACACTCAAATAATACCTGGCTCCTTCAATTTAAACATCGTTAAAAGCTGAAAGACGCGACAGAACAAATATGATATTTATAGCACATTGATTAAGATTCATCAAATTTGACCATCACAACGATGTTTACTCATTACCAGTAATAGAACCTATGCCTATAAATCTTCTCCATTACAGGCAGGAGTAAGAATAATTCGTTGAACATACCGGACAGCCGTTTTAGGGCATCTGAATTGGGGGCGTCAGAACATCGACATTTCCAAAACACGTCCTGTATAAAAACTTTGAACAATTTGAAAAAAAAAATAGTCATGCCACTAGTTGGTGAAAGGTAGGCACAACTCTACGTTCAGGATAAGAGAAATATTTTATTTTCGTCTATTCTAAAACCCAATGTGAAATTTGATCCAATATATCTGAATTTTAGATAAAACCTGTGGAAGGAAGGCAGACAGACGTTGGACTTCCTAAGTTGGAGATCGACCGCTTGTGTGAGGTAATATGTTGATCATCTCCTACAGTCGTGAAGACATATTATTAATCTTATTCCACAATCACTGTGAAATCGTGAATATCTTCCTCGGCCTCGGCAAAATTCTGAATACCACTCAGTGGAAACAAAAACGATTCCTCCTGCATACGTAAGGACATCATCGTCTCCCGCGTTCATGGAAATATTATCATCGTATTTTACGACCAATGCAATATCATAATAACCTTCCATGGTCGTGGAGAGATCATCATCGTCCCCTTGTTCGCGGCAAAATTCTATATCCCCACGGTAACGGAAACACCATCGTTGTCATCTCAATCACAGCTAAATTCTGACTATTCCCGACGGTCGTGTAGACACGAGAGAAATGTTAACGCATGAACCACAGGCGACTGTGGAAGTTTCTTGAGTGCAGCTAAGGCAATTTTCACTCGTGTTATACAATAATTTTTTCCCACAGTTAAGAAATAATTATTCATTCAAGAGCTATACAGCATGTTTATACGCGAATACTGGAGTGCGGCAAAAAGAGAAAAAATAAAGAGGTAAAAGAAAGTAAATGCAGCAATTAGCAACTTACTGTACTTTAACCAGTGCAAGGAAGCTCACTTTGTCAGGTGACTGCAGGAAAAAATATTTGTATTAAAAACATTTTTTGCAATTTATTAAAAGTAGAATAAAAACGATATTACATTAATTTGTAATCACATATTTAATGTATACAAAGAATATATTTTCATTCCCAATGCATCTTAAATGGAATATATTTTTTTGTTATTTCTCATTTCCGGTAGATTTAGACATAATCTGCTATTTTTCTCGACCCCTTGGGAACAGGACCCTTAATTTGAGCCCCCCCCCCTAGTTACACATATAACTATTTCCTATAGTTACCTTAAATGGGCTTTGTGTCAGGTATCACTATATTAAAAGTTAAAAAAATAATACAATTGTAATCACATACTTAATGTAAATAGGTTTTTCAATCCCAATGCCTTTTCAATTAAATATAATATAAAGCTACTAGAAACGAGAAATTACGACAATTATCTTCCGTTTGAAATGCATTTGGATTGAAAAACTTCTACTTTGCTTACACTTAACATATGAAAAAAAAAATAGTATCCCTGTTCATTATCGATGATTTTTTTCTCGATATATCGATATTGACAAATTGAAAAAGCTGGCAACTACGAAAATATTGTTCAGTATCAACAAACATTAATGAAATGAAGCTGTTCTAAAAAAATAACCTAACATAACTAACCGAACTTGCTGTAACATTTAAAAATTCCGTGTTTATAACTTACCTTTTATATTCAAACACAAACAGAATTTTTCAATGGTACAGCAAGTTTGGTTGGTTATGTTAGGTTAGCTTAAAACAGTTTCATTTCTTAATCCATTTAATACACTATTTTAGCCTAAACATGATCAGTTAGTTGTTGTCAATTTGTAATGGATCGGAAAACAAAAACATCGATATATCAAGAAAAAAATCATCGATAATAATGAATGTTCCCTTTAACAGCAAAGTACCCATTTTTCATTAGATTAGAAATAAAATAATTGTTGTGTATTTCTATAGGTTGTGTATTTCAATTTTAACAAACTCTCAATAAAAATGTAAAACAATAAAACGAAACATATGTTGAACAATAATTACCATAAGTTATTTACATTATTAATTACTACTGTCAATGTCCAAAAGTTAGATTAGAGATGATTATGCATCCGCATAAGAAGGATTTAATGACGTCATTTCAGGTACTACAATTGGGCCTCTTCTTGTGCTGGTCAGTGTACTGAGATGCTGTAATTTTTTTGTCACAGAACCCACAGATACGAGTAAAATTGTTCTTTGAGATACAAAGTCATAAAAATTATCAATGTATGAAAAATATATTTACACTCCACCCAAAAACTGAAAGCTACAGATAGCAGCACTATACTAAAGTGTTAACAGGCCCTCAGTATTGTCAAATGAAGGTACAACCAAGTGCGAAGTTACCAGGATACTCTATGAACAAATACCGCAAAAAAGGCGTCAAGCACAGTTTTAAGGTTAGGTCCCTTCCACAATGCAACACTACTGTCGTTATTGTGATCCTATTCCATATAATAAACCTAATCCAAAACCACGACCTACACTACCTGTTAGCGGGTTGTTTGCTGAAAATACTAACAGTCTTGTCTTAAAATTCTTAAAATTTAGATCTGTCACAGCCAATGGTAACTTGTTGAAGCCTGATATAGTCAATGCTGATACCCATAACAAAATGCCCTGATCTTGCTTTTTCCAAACGGATCTGAGGCAGATAAATTTTTTTGAAGTTCCTAGTACTAATACTGCGCACTTCATTTTTCATTTGTATCTAAAGCTATTCTTAAAAGTAAACAATAATAATTGATAAATATATAAGTTAATGATGGTCAATATTTTTGAATCAATAAAAAAGGGTTTACGGTGTGCTTTACTCCTCTTACACCTCTTTACACATTATTCTGCTAATTTTTTCTGTCATAGAAGTAGGCTACCTCGTGAATTTTAGGAGAAATACCATAATCCATATAAAGCAATTGACTAAAATAACGCACTAAAATTAAGTATAAAACCGGCACTATAACAATGTTCCCTACCGAACGCTGAGCTCACACCGAGGCAATGAGAAAGCAGAGTACGACATCGTGCTCAGGTACTACAATAATTATTGTAGTAGCTCGCTGCCAATGTGTTAGTTACTCACTTAAAATAACTCAAACAATTTGCATGTTCGTTCAGTGATGTAATCTTGAAAATAAATAGGTACTAGGGAAATGAAATATAAGCAATTTATAGGTTTCATACTATCAACAATATTGTTGTTAATGTTACACTGTATTAATAAAGTAACTGTTTTTAGACAACACATGAGGTATACAAGCTGAGGACACAACTTCATGAACAGGCTTCTATTATAGCTGAAGGGTTTGTGAATGATGATGCTAAACGGTAAGATAAACTTTCATTCAGTATATTAATGCAAAATTTCTATTTTAAAATATTCATTACATACATAGACTTACATACATATCACTTCTAGTCAGTAGTGATTACTCGATCAATTTACTACAGGTAAAACATCATTCACTTGATTGTCTTTGTAGCTGAGTAGTTACAATACTTGCCTTCAAATCTGAATGCCAGTTGTTTTATACTTAGCGAGGTTTCATAATGATCACTGACTTTTTTGATGTACGTTCTAGTATTTCAATTGCTATGTTTTAAGTAAAATTCCATCTATTCGACGATAAGACTTTCCATGCACAGTCCAACCTAAATAACTCCAGATCAGGATAATAGAACTGGCAGGTCCTTCTATCACTTTTCTTGTTAAAATAACAGCTGCATTGTCTTTTCCGATCAAGATAAAGGGTTTAGAATGTGCCAAAGTAAGGGGCTGGTTAATTGAGTTTAGATGAACCAAAGTCTGTCTAAGTTTTACTGTGTAAAAGTTTTAAAGTAGTAAGTTTAGTTAGTTGTGACTGTGTCCGGACGTTATCAAGGGTGAAATACTTCATCCTCGTAAAATCCTTTTATTTTAGGCTAACTTTGCGAGAGGTAGATTCAAAGTAACATGGTGAGTTTGACCAACAGGCAGCAAGCGGCCCTTTATCTCCCTCGATTTCTAACTTGTCGGCTGTGGTTTTGACAATAGAATGGTCAGAGTCTTTATTTTCATCAGATGAAGGATGGCTTCTATTTTTGAATACAAAGAGTTTTCAGGTTTATCTGTCAGTAGTAAGCAACTGTGGAATATTTTACAGTTATTAATACCACAAGCTTTCTTTATTTTACAGAACTTTATTGGGTGTTGGCGAAAACATTAGAATCAAAACATCATTTCTACAACCATCTTCCATCTCTCTGCAACACTGGATTTCCTGGATTTTTACACTGAGCACTTTCGTACTTTTCATTGAAAAATATACAACAATTTGGTCCCCCATTTGTAGAGTTTGTTAATACTAAATGTGTATCATACTTACGTGTAGAAGTGTCAGACTTGGGATGGAAATAAATACTCATGGGTGAGCACTGATTTTCTAACCAACTAGACTTACTTATCTTATCTTTTAGGTCTGACTTACTTACAAAATTATGATCTCACATACTGAGCCCAATCATACTTGACTTTATAAGGTAATTTGTCCATCATATACATCAATAACTTAGGGTTTGTCATGCAGTGCTTCATTTCAAGGGGTAAGCTGTTATAGTAAAATGAAGGGCACAAGTGGAATATTCTATGAGACCATTTATGTCTTCCTCATTGAGAGTTGGAGTTTATACTTTTTATTCACGTTCATAGTTTAATGTTGTTTTAATGCAAGATAATGGAAGATTTTTTTGTCTTAATCAAGACAATCCTAACGAATAGTTCACTAGGCTGGTCTGAATCAAAGGCACCAGACAATAACCTCCGGGCATTCCAGGTTTGAAGTGAACTTTTTGGTTGGATATAAAGATGACGATGATTGGCCTCAGCTTGAAAGGCCTCACATTCTAAATAAAGAAGACGATGATCGGCCTGACATTGCATTCCAATTTAATCCAACGTTTGCTGAGAATATCATCGCATACCGTAATACCTACATGAATGGCAAGTGGGGCAATAAGGAGGGATCAATTGCTGAAAAGTTTCCGTTGCGTCGAGGACAGCCATTCTTCTTGGAATTCTACATCACCAAAGCCGAGTTTATGGTTAGTTTCAGAAAAGTCAAAAGTAGCAAGCATTCCTAACAATAAATACATTTGAAAATAACACAGTTTAATGATAATATGTATTGCTTTTACTGCTCCAAAATCGAAAATGGTAATTCCAAATATGTATGTAGCAAAGTAAGAAGGAAGGGTTTTTTTGGTATGTTATACTAAATTAAATAGTAAATATACATGAGCGGGTTTTCCAAGCAACATACTTGCTCCCCTTACTACAGGATTCTTGTTTTCTTATTTACTCATCTTATTATACATACAAGACTATGCTTTCTATAGGTTCACTTTTTCTGGGTTAAAACTTTAACCACTTATCTTTCGTTGTTTTATAAGCGTATATAACATGTGGAAAATAGTGAAATTTATTAGTTTCCGCTTAGAGTCTCTAAAGTATTTTTAATGGTGTAGCCTTGTTTATAGGCTGGGTAACAGTAAGGTGAGTGGTTGACTGTCCATTCTGAGAAAAGGACTTTTGAAACTGGACCCAGATGACCTTGGGTTTTTTTTAATTTTCAAAACTCATCTTTCCCTGGTGTGTTTTTGTCAGGTGGCTGTGGATGGTCAGCACTTCATCTCGTACAAACACAGAGAACCTTTCAGGTCTGTCACCAGAATTCAGTTTCGTGGAGATATAACTCTGGCCAACGTCGACTTCCAGAACACCCCCAAGTACCCTTTCCCTCAGCCACAGGTGGGTGAATTTGCTGTTTGTAGATAATTGATCACATTCAAGTGTCAAGAGCCGGCAACGGAAAATTGCTACTTTCATAAAAAAATAAGCCACATATTGAGGAGTATTAAGTATATGTATTAGATACAACTAGATATTCCATTCCCATGTTAAATTTATAGCTAGATTTTTAATCAAAATCATCATGGTTGATGTGAGCCACCTACAGATTGCGCTGGTCTAAATTACTAAATTTTGTAGAATTCACAAACCTTTTTACCAAGTAAAACTTAGGGAAAGACATTCCATCCCCATGTTAAATTTGTAGCCTGATTTTATATCAAAATCATTGTAGTTGATGTGAGCCTCCTACAGATTGCTCTGATCTAAATTTTTGTCGAATTCACAAACCTTTTTACCAAAAAAGATTTAGGGAATGACTTATGGTGAGCTATAGCAACTGTTATGACCCATTAGCCTGGTAAAAAATGCATTCTGTGACTGGCTCACACAACTATGTTCTTTTTCAGTAAAAAAAAACTGGTGACAGTTAGTCATTTAAATAGGATGTCTACTTCAGATTAGTTAATAGCGTTAAATTAAAATACCCCCGCCGCAGCAAACCTGCCGACTAAGCAAATTTCCATTTGTCTGAATTGATTTTCAATTAAATATATTTTAATAACTTTAGGTTTAACGAGTACCTAGGTTTGCTGCTACAAGGAAACTAATAATGTGTGTTTTTTAGTAAAATATTGATAGTACAAAATAAATAAATTTGCCAAGTTTGATCAAAATATATCCATAAACAAGCAAACTACAACATTTGACAATATTCTCCATAAGAATAACATAGGAATTTTTAATTTACAATTTTTTTAATTTTCTCCGTTACTATTATCGGAACAAAAATACTTTTAAATACTAAATTATTTGTTTTTTTAAGTTCTTTAAAAAGGTCTAAAGAGAAATTGGGAATTTTTTTGTTTTGAGGGTCAAAAGTGAGAAAACTCAATTTTTACCCCATGAAACCCCCCGTAAAGCCCCGTTCCCATGGTCCGATCGTGCTGGTTCGCGAACTCATTCAAGTTTATCCCGCTTTACACCTTTAAACCAAATTTCATCAAAAACGTTAATCGGACAAAAATTACTCAAGTTATCGCGTTCACGGACGTATATATATATAAATCTCTCTATATATATATACATATATAAAAATTTGAAGGAATGGTGTGTTTGGCCTCTGGGGACATCAAAATCAAAAAAATTAATTGGTCCCAGGTCTAGGTCTTACCGTGCCACCTACGGTAATAGCTACTTCCCTATAGGGAAATTCGCTAAAAAGATATTAATCCGACCAAATGTAGACATACCTTTGGGCCAGGGCACCAGGGCAGAGCAGGCCTGATGGAGTATTTTGAAAATGCTTCTCATTGAACACCCAGAGCTTACTTGGAACCTCCATTTAAATTTCTGAGTTCCTATGGTTTGTAGTTTTTTAAGATGGTTTTCAGTGAGTGAGTGGTATTTGCCTGTAATAAGTATAGATTATGTGACTCATGTAAACATTCTTTGGCATGCTATAATTACATTGCCCTCTGCTGTTTTTTTATCATTGTGATAAAATGAAATAAAATAATAATAAATCAATTACTCAAAAAGTGGCAATTTTAGGATAAAATGTGAAATAAACTTTTTTATAGCATTTAAGAAATCCTAATAAACAACATCAACAACAACAAGTTTAAAAAGGCTGAGTAAGAATAGGCAAAATATCGTGAAATATTGTCTAAAAATAAGGCGAATCAGGTTAAACCTGACTAGCTTAGCCTTGTACTACCACATTTTACAGCATAAAACTATTTTTTTTCTAACATGGGTTTCCACTACCTGAACATACTATCAAGTTGCATAAAGATCTGTTGGAATAATCCAATGATAAAAATGTTAATTCAAAAAATACAAATTGGAGGATGTCTGGTTAGTGATGAGATTTCAGAAATAGGTTTTCATTCATGATTATTTTTATTTAGACCCACAGAACAATTCCCCAGAGTTTGGCTGTTAACTGATACGACTATATACAGTATATACTAATATAAAAAGGTCCTGGAATGGGATCAAGTAGTATGACTCCCTTGACCTATGTCCCATCAACAATTAGATTTAGAACTAGAAATCCACCTAGTCAGTATGTTCGCTTGGTGTGGGTATATTTTATAGAACAATATAAACGTATTTTTAAATTTTACTGGTTTTTTTGTTCAACGAGGCAAATAAAAATGTTACCAATACAATAATAATTTACTATAAATTTTACAATAATTTACTTTAACTAGTGTGTAGTGTACTGGTAATGCATTGTAAGTTTTTTTGCAGGGAGTGTGGATACGTGCTGAAGATTATGTAAGTAAAATTTGAGTTGGTTATTATTATAAATTGAAATTTACTATCCAAAAGTAGAGGTTATAGAATAGAAGAAAGTCTTGTAAAAGTAAACATTATTTACAGCTTAATACTCCAATGCAAGTGTTCTTGATATCACTGATCGACACTTTATTATGAACTAGCTGTGTGCCTGTTCTACGCACGGGGATCTTATAGTAGTCAATTGAAACATTTTTATATTAAGAACGGCACTTGATTAGCATATTTTCAGATATGCTGGCAAAACTATTATCCATAAACCTTCGCAAATACAATATCTGACAGTTTCAAGCCAAAACAAATGCTTCTTAATAAAATGTCGCCCAGATCGTGTTGGTCCATATGTTAAATCCAATGATTAAACTAAAAAATACTTTATATATTTATGAGGCATAGCCCTAAGGTAAGCCTATAATTGAAAGTTACTTTCCTCAACGTTTGAAAGTATTTTTAGTACTACCTCAAACTCACCATTTAACACTTTATTACTGTGGACATTTTCACTATCGAAGGTTTTCTTGTCTTTTTAGTGAAACACTGAGAAATAAGATCGTTAATGCGTTACTATCAGACATAGACACAACAATGCAGAACTTAATTAGGGAATTTGCTACTCTTGAAGCATAACAAAGTACATATAAAATGTGTATTTGAAATCTTTGGTTATGATGATGTTATGTTATGATATCAAATTTTATCATAACAATTTATATTTGCTTAGACCGAAGATGACCCTTAATCCTGTCGAAATTACGGCTAACTGTATGAAATGAAGTATTATAGACGATTTTGATTGGTAATTTAAAAAAGAAATACCAATATAGGTCACTAACTATTTATATATAAACAACGTAAGGCGTAAACAATTAATGATGGTTTGCTCAAAAAATGTTTTACTCAAATACGTTATAATTTTTTTACATTTTGGAATCCAGTCACAAAAAGCAAAACTTATACAGTTCAGACATCATTTAATTGAATACGGCTGTAATAAATAAGGTGCAACACCAACGATAACTAATTTGTAAATTACAGTGATGTGTTGGTACGTAAAAATGATTCTTGCTACTACCAACGGTTCTAAGCAAAAGAACCAATACCAAAAACCAACGTTTACAGTTAAGAACTATAGTATATCCGACCAATTAAATGCGTTAATCAAGTCCTAAAGTTATTGATCTCTTGGTTTTGGATTTTCTCGTAAAAAGTGATCGGAAATCAAAATTATTTCCCATCAATTGCATTATTTGGAAACAACTTTTAATGTAAACATATCGGTGTCAGTTTGAATAAAAAACTACCTTATTCCAACAACTTTTTGTTATTTAATATATTACGTATTCTCTAAACAATGATTGGTATATCTATGAACATTAGAAGGAAATGTAACAAAAATTACACAATGTTGGGTTTTTGGACGTTTGTACTTTATTTCTTAAGTAGGTAGGCCATGTATTCTAGGGAAAAGTACCGGTATCAAGGATCGTCGTCGAAAAGGTTGTAATGAATAATTATTGGGAAGGTGTACGGACCCAAGAGATGGGCTATGGGCCTATTGGCTGTATGGTCTACCGATTGCATCACACGGTAAGAAACAGGAGGTGACACATTGGAAAAGCGAGTTTAGTATCATCTGTAAACCTCAGTTACAAGTGCAATTTACGTCCAAAAAATTCAAACTGACACCAAATTTAAATAAATTAATCTATTATGCATTTAATTTTTTGTGTCTTTATATAATATAGAAAATAAGGTTCAATAGCTTTACTATTACATTTAATCTTTAATTTTACAGAATAAGGAACAGCATGGCGAAATAATTACTAGCCCTGTAAGTATGTTGAGAAAATATTTTTTTACTTTTGATGAAAAGATCTTGTAAAATGGATCATGCTCGGTTTTGCTCAAATACTTTTAAAAAGAAACCGATTTTTGTACAATATCCGTGAGCACCATTTTTGAATTAAAATATATGTTTTAGCCCTTGACCTGTGATATAACTAACAATAGGTTTTATTTTTCGTCAACAGCTCAATCAGTTGTAACCTGCGTTACGGCCATTTCGCCATCATCAGACATCTTCAGCTGAAGCAGCGTCGTCACATTGGAAACACATAACATGGACACATTTACAATTACAAAAATATGAACATAAAATTAACAGGAATGCAACACTCGCGGTACCAGTTTACATGATCTGAACTCAGGTTATAACTGATTGAGTTGTTGACGAAAGGTAAAACCTATTAACAGTTTTTACCTGCTGAAGTAAACAAGTCTGGCCCGGAGACCCTAAATATTATTGTGATTTAACATCTTCTAAATCGAAACGTATCAATATTTAAATGAGCGGTTTTTTACGAATTTATAATTATTTCAGTAAAAATTACTAATATACGCTCAAACTTAAGAAAATTTTAAAATAGTGATAACCATATGACAATAATTCTAATGGTAGCTCAATATTACAGGGTAAAACTGCAAGTTTATGATTATTGCAGCAAGGAAATTTACAATAGCAGTACCACATAATTATGTGAGTTAAAATACTACTTATTGTAATGTACTTTTATTTGTTAATGTTTAACACCTTCATTTAATTTTATATATCCATTTCTTTTGCAGATACGTTTTCTTCAATCAATCTGAAGTTTATAAGAATATTTTTAAGCGGCAGGAAGTCGTTTCACTACCAAGCCTCATTTTTTTATTTTATTATTATTTTCATTTGATTTTCAACTTGCAGATTGTTTCTTAAAACAGTTTTAAAATTATAGCAATAGTATAATAACCCAACGTAGCAAATCTGCAGACTAAGGGAATGCTAATTTGACTGATAATATTTCAGCTCAAATATCTCCTTAAAAATGTCAGATTAATTCCCTATTGAAAAAAATATTATTTTAACGAATTCATAAGTTGGAATAAGCTTGTTATACTATTATCACATTGGAAATTGAACTTATAATTTGTCTTGTATGGTTACAGCAGACAGAACACCAGAAACCACGATGATGTTATGATGTGAGACAAACAACAAACCTATGGAGAGAAAATATACAAGAGAGAAAATGTCAAACTTACATTGTACATCGCAATTAGGATGCAGTACTAAATATAAAAAACAGTTTTAAATTGTCTTTCACTTTTACTATTTGATATATTCTTTGCTAAAACATATCTTTAGTTCTTTAGATTTTTGCAGAAACACCACGGTCTGCATTACTTGTTAAAAGTGTGCTTTATTTTTTAAATTAACTTAACCACTTCATCTTATTCATCTTTACTCTGAGAGGACAAAGTGGTTAAGAATCCTGACCTATTTTCACATAAAAGCTTTGTGAAACGTTTAAAAAGCACTAAGAAATCCTCAACCCCCATCATTTATCTTTGCCAGCTTTTTCAACTCGTTGATGTACAAAAATACTCGATCTGTTATGCTTTAATCCTAAACGTTGATGTTATAACTCGCCATGTTAGATTTATGAAGGTATTTTATCCAACATTAACTTGCATTTTAGATTTGTATAATAAGTTAAACATAAATGTTAGTAAATCAATCACAATAAACAAGCAAACACACTCCTTTGCATTTTACACTTATTGTTATTCAGTGAAAAAATACTTTAACGTTTTTAACGTTAAAATAACAATTTATAATATAGTAGACGGATTAATTATTTTTCAGCCTTTTATTCTACATCTAATTTTAATTTTGCATTTAACAACTTATCACGTTTGTCCTCTAACTGCAAGGGCAAGTTTAGCTTGTGAGTAAAAAACTTTAAGATATAACTTTAATAAAATGTGGGTAACATATTCGATGGATTATGTTTGATGACTTAAAAGAATTCAAGAAATACCCACATTGAATCACTTTAAATCAATTTTAGTTACACTAAATTGTTTGTAAACTAGTTTACTACATTTACCTTTATGTGAAAGAAATCTAAAAGGTTATTGAATGATTACTATACGCACGAATACAACAAAACGATTGTATCTTACTTATAAGGGTAAAAAATAGACCCAGTAATAGTACTACAAAGGTACACCCAAGTAATTGTATACTAGTCTATAGTATTCTAACACGGTACTCTAAAATTTGACTAGATAATTTTATAAAAGATTTATGGGAACTCAACCAAGCCACTGTTAAACAGTTGATGTTACTTATTCAGGCTCTATAGTATATTTCGTACCTAGGGCCGAAAATTAGGTTTTGCCGTCTCGAGATCATTTTTTCTAAGTTCGAGGCGAAGTCGACTACTTTTAGAGTCCTTGGAGCCTACACTTTCTAACACTTAAAACAACTAAATAACTACAAAGAAGATTTCTATTCTCACAGTATACTAGATATTTAAATTAAAATAACTCAGATGTTCGAAAAAATATTTTTGTACTTTAAATAACTCTTCAGCGGCTGTTTGAAATCAACGAAATTATCATTGCTCTAATAGCGGGCAAATTTAAGATGGCCGTTAGCTTCTATGGACTCCCATAGAGAAAATTTCAAAACTACAAAAAACATTTCTAACCTCACAGTTTTACATTATGATCAATTTTATGTTTGAAAAAAAAATATACTTTTGGCCGATAAGTAACTCTTTAGCAGCTATTTGAAATCATCGAAGATTTCCGTTAATCTCCAAACACCCTCGATTGTGAGCTATTTCGAGATATATCGAGATATTTCGTACCTAGGGCAGAAAATGAGGTCTTGCTGGCTCGAGATCATCCTTTCAAGTTCGAGTAGAAGACGAGAACTTTAAACGATCGAGAGCTGCTAAACCCTTTCGGCCTGTGGTTTTTCTACCCACTATACGTTTGTGTGAAGAAATATTTAGAGGAATCAGTAATAATCTATATATTAAAAGGCAAGCATGTTTCTTTAAAACCTTTTTCTTCGCTTGTGTGAATCGCAGTGAAAATCTACAAAATACTGTTAGAAAGAGATGTTAAGAATCCCCTTATAAACTAAAATAGACTCAAAAATTAAGCACAAGAAATTAATTTGAAATAAAAAAATTAACATGGCCCTTATGGGTTGCCATGCTGGTGACAAAATAACAACAAAACGTAAAGAGAAAATCAAATCAAATGAAATAAATTATTACAATTACCTGTTTTATTTACAGCATGGGGTGAAAATAGAGAAGCCTGTAAATTACGTATTTTTGGTCGATTGCATAAAGTAAAGGCTTATACCCACATGGAGTTAAAATAATCAATACAGTTTTATAATCATAACATGGATATGGTAATTCAACAAGAAATATTTAGTTTGAGATTAGTTTTGTTGGAAGTGTTCTGATTATGTAAATCGTAATGGGTGCGTCTATAAGCACTGTTGTACGTGAATAATATTATGTATCCTGGCATCCGTGCATGAGTTCTAATGGATTTCCAATGTAAAAAAAATAGATTTATTATTTTGGATACACGTTGTCATTGGTCTATGTACATACATTTAGTACTGAATATTTACTGTAATTCCGACCGATAAGCTTTAAATTATAATAATTGTTCATTTGAAAGTAGACCTAATTTTAAAAATTCATCCAAAAGTAATGAATTGTTACATGAAGTTGGTAAAATAGGTGCGGTACATATTTTGACAATGATATACTTAAAATCAATCGTTGATAAGAAAAGTTCATATCAAATTAAGTAAACTAAAAGTGTAAAGTGTTGCAAGTGTAGCAGTAGAAATTTAAAACAGATATGCCAGGACGTTTATTATTCTTCTATTATATAGGCCTAAATAATACGCTAAGCTGATTTTTGTAAACAGAACTTCTTCCTCATTTTTGGACTGTTTTTGATGATTAAAGTGAAAAAAAAATTGCCCTGATCTGTAGTTTTGCAAAGTTTATTTTTGAATTTTTTGAAATCTTTACTAGTTTGGGCAGGATCTTCCATCAAAGTTGGGTTTCCTCCCATACGATTAACATGGGGATATCGAAATATTTAATTGTAAACATTGTCTCCTTAAATTTGAGAGAATGGCTGGGCGTAGAAACTTTGTAGAGGTGTCCAAAAAAAGGTCTTGGTCTGTAGATGACCCATCAAAAGAAAAACCAAGTAAATTCCCCAGGGGCTCTGCCCCAGAGGCCTTTAAAATTCCCTTCCCAAATTTGTTTACATTATGACCATATGGATAATTTGTCACTAATTTTACTTTCTCCCCCTATACCTAATCCTCCTTTCTCTTTTTCCTATAGTATTAGGAGAAAGTATTGTTTTCGTCAAAATTTTCGAGTTTGAGTTTTGAGTGGATATATTCGTTTTGGGTCCCCCTGGACCCAAAAAAGTGGTTTTCGAAGTGATGTCTGTGTGTGTGTGTGTGTGTGTGTGTGGGTGTCTGTGTGTGTGTGTGTCTGGATGTGTACAGAGCTAGAGACTACACCTGTGGTCCGATTTCGATCAAATTTGGTATGTAGGTTCTAATCCATGGTATCTCCAGGTATTTTTTTCATTTTTTTGAAATTTTGATTTTTAATGGGGATTTTTCCATAAAAACCCATAAAAAACCGGAAAAATCGGATTTTCTCAAAAATGGCCCGAACGATTTTGATAAAACTTTAGTATGTTGTAGCCCTTTAAATTCTGAACAAAATGGTACAAATCCCATTTCTGTAAAAACTACGGTTCAAAAGTTATGGTAAATTATGTTATTTTCCCATAAAAATCCCATAAAATAACGAAAAATAGGATTTTAGACAAAAAAATCCGTTTTTATTTAACATGGTATGTTATGATCCTTACAATTTTGATAGTTTTTCTCATTTCTTAGAAATTTTTATGTTTAATGGGTATTTTCCCATAAAACCCCATAAAATGACGGAAAAAAAAGATTTTCCCTAAAATGGCCAGAACGATTTCGATAAACATTTAGTATGTTATAGTCCTTTATATTCTGAACAAAATGGTACAAATCCCATCTCTGTAAAAATTACGGTTCAAAAGTTATTGTAAATTATGTTATTTCCCCATAAAAACCCCATAAAATAACGGAAAATTATATTTTCCCAATATTGGCTCGAACGATTTTGATAAAAATTTAGTATGTTATAGTCCTTTAAATTCTGAAGAAAATCTTACAAATCCCATTTCCGTATATTTACTCTCACCGCTTACACATGATAAAGGTTGTTGACAAACTTATGGGAGAAAGTATGTGTCAGAATGCTGATATCGTTTATTTAATGATACAGCTGTTAATATTTAAATTGTATTTTGAACAACATATATTATAGGGACTTAAGAAGTATTTTAAATGTAATTTTTTGATATTAATTCTTGATTATTTTGTTCTGCATCATCTCATGTTTTACAATATAACGCTCAATTACGAAATCATTGGAAAATCTTAATAATACAGTAACTCTTAAAATGATTTCTTATCGAGTTGACTTATATCTGTTGTACGGGTTGGTGTCTGCCTTTTTGACCACTTTTGCCGATATTTTGTCATATTGTTGAAAACAGATCATCATAGGTTCATGAGATTATTGTCATACAGGTTTTCAATTATTGGAAAAGATTTCGATTGCGTAATACAAAACAAAATAATACAAGTACAGAAGGGCAAATTGCCCATATGAGCCGTGTCCATATTTTGTTAAATTAATAGTGGTTTACAGCAACTGGATTAATTTTTTATAAATTTTTATGAAGAAATGTGTCCATTATTTAGAATTCTGCAATAAATTGTAATTTTGCAGATAGTCATTAATCTGCAAAATTACAATTTATTGCAGAATTTTGGATATGTTACTTCGATGTATTCATTCAGCTTAGTGAAAACACAATAGAGCCTTTGAATGTTATGAAACTAACTAAAAAACAACAAAAACCATGTAATTTATCTCTAAAAAAAATGTCTCAAAGTGCACCGGTAACTTACCCAGATAGTAACAAAAAATATGCCCAAACTCGATACTAAAAAAAATTTCAGGCCTGAGCCATTTTAATGCGATTGGATTGTGACATTTATTAAATCGGCTTATATTTCTCTTTCCAACGGATTATTCATCTGCAGAAGAAGTTCATTGTGCTCATATCGTGTCTAATAACATCCAAACACAGAAAGCTTGCCTAAGATAGTACCTATATCTTTACAGATG